TCTTCATGAGATTCTTGGCATATGGGTTGCCTTTGCTTCTCTGCCTGCATAGTTTCGGGGCGATGGTTGGTTGATGCAGGCTGAAAGGGAGGAGCGCGTCCTCACGTGGAGTGGGAGGAGGATTGGAGGCGACATCGAGTCCACGTTTTTTGAAGAAGGGCAAAGCGGTATCGGCGGCAGCTGCGTTTTCGTCACAAGGGCATCCGGAGTTCGAGGGCGCTGTGCTCGAGTTTCGATTTTGTTCACTTTGTTGATTGTATCTTCAGGATGAGCTTGCTTTTCTTTGGATACACCCTCTCGCCGATCATATGAGGTATAATGGTTTCTGTTGTAGTCACCAAACAGGATCACCTTGATTCGCGTTGTAAGTTTCCAGTTTTGATCTTCGAAAATTTCAGTCTCTGAGTTTACATGTCGTGTTCTTGATTCAGATTTTTTAGTAGACCTTGATCGGTAGTTGTTGTTTTTAGTTTCTCATGTACTGTCTTTATTGCCGATTCGTTTTCGACTTAGAATCTCCTGGTTACTGTCTTAGTGATTTTCCTTTTTTATGTTTGGTAATTCCTGATTTACACTAGAGCGATTTCTTGAACTAGGGTTTTGGAAATCAGAGTCGGAAGTCCGCGAGGACATCAGAATCAATTTCCTATTCTGTTTCTCCTTTTGAAATTTCGAAATCTATCAAATTGTGTTTGCGACCTTTTGGATTGGATGCCAAAATTCATGACCTAAATTTCCTTGATTACTTTGTGATCTCATCTTCAAATTTCAAATATCAAAAACACGTTCCAGATAGATTCTTAATCTTGTTCCTGATTTTCGATGGAAAGATCTACGACTGTACATCTTAATTTTTTGGGGGTGCTTTTTTCTGTTGATGATTGCCTCAAAGTTTGCCGGGGGGGGAACTAGAATGGGAGGATGGAAAGAAGAATGGTTACTTTCAACAGACGGAGGATGCCGGTTAGGGCGAGTAGGTTAGGAGGACGATGCTGGGATGACATAGGCCGGTGCTGAAGCTTTAAGCTCTGTGACCCAGGGGGAGCTTGAGGCCTATCGAGTTATGCCGAGGGTGGAAGGCGTAACCAGATCGTCCAACGTAGTCGGCGCCGGGGTTTGGACCCTGTAACCTGTTTAGGGGTTTGCCGCTAAAGGAATTGTCGAGGGAGGAAGGCACTTCCTGTCCATCAGAACTAGGTTGATCGGTACTGGGGAGGGTTGTGTTGCCCTGTTACCCTAGCAGAGGGGGGTATGAGACCAGGTGAGTTCTGGTACGAGGACTGAAAGTCGGGACCGACGGTCCGCCTGTTGAGAGGGGGATGGATTTTAGGATAGTTGGTATTAATTTCTAGCTTCGACCCCCTTTTTCTGAATTCTATCCTGGTTGGCCGTTAGGGGGATTTGAGAATGTTTAGGATTCTGGGGCTTCTATCAACTTTTCCTAGGCTATTTTGAAGTTGTTATACTCAGCGATTTGTGGCTGTTCGATGCCAGAACGACGCTGGTCAGTGCTGGGGTGTTGCCATGTAACCTGTTGACACAGGAGTGTGAGGCCTGGTAGAGAGATCTGGGGATGCTTTGGGGTGGGCATCTCACAGAACAACCAAGGTTTGCTGTTGGGACGACGCTGGCCGGAGCTGGGGCGAGTTGTGTTGCCCTGTAACCCAGCAGGAAGTGGGGGGGTGAGGCCTGGAAGAGCTCGGCAGGGAGTAAGACAACTTTGAGGAACTCTGGAAGGGCTGGTTAGGGAGCTCGAGATTTTTTGGCGCTTCTTTTACGACCCCGGCGGTCTATTCTGAAAAGAAACGAGGAGAGTGGGAGAAGGAGATGGTGGTATATCATGCGTCCTACTAGTGAGGGGGCTAGCTGGTAGGATTGGAATAGGGTATAGCAGCAGTAGAGATGGTGGCTCTACTGCAGTAAGTCTTGCCGGAGTGAGGAACAGAGGATTGATGGTGGGGGGGGTTGTGAGTTGGATATGAATCCTGCGTATTCTTGAAGCCCGTTGTACTCGTTTTCTAAGTAGCTCCAACTTTTTGAGCCAAAAAAGAACGAGGCCAGTGGGGAGATGGTGGAATATCACGCGTCCTACTAGTGAGGGGGCTAGCTTGTAGGATGGGAATAGGGTATAGCAGCAGCGGAGATGGTGACTCCGCTGCAGTAAGTCTTGCCGGAGTGAGGTAAAGTGGATGGATGGGGGGGGTTTCTGAGTGGTTTTCTGAATTCAGTTCATATTCTGAAGTTTGTCGTGGTCATTTTCTAAGTAGCTGCAATTTTTTCTGAGCGAAAAGCCGGGTAATGGCCCCGACATCTCAATTTTCAAAATTTTATGTAAATTTCCATATGGGACGCTGGCCCCGGTTCCCAGCACGTGCTGCTCCCCACGAATAGATTGGAGCCTTGTTCCCATAAAAAAAAAAAAAAAAAAAAGGTCCATTTTCTGGTTTTCGGACACACAGATACTATCTGGCCTTCAATGTGATTGTGCATTCTGGTTATTATCATCTCGCTTCTGCTCATTTTCCTTGCAATTTGGTATCGGAGCTGGTTCGAACTGAGCTTTATTGGTTCTTCGCAATAACTGTTTGGTGCTTCGCGTGAGGTGTGGGGCAGTGATAAAGCTTGGGCGTTGAACGATTGGCGGCCCAGGGTCCTGTGGGCGCGCCAGGAAGCTATGTGGTGGCATTAGGTGTACGCCCAATGATGAGAGCTCGCTGATGTGGCATTTAAGCCGAGGTCTGCTGTTGGTTGTGTCGAGGCAAAGACCGATCATCATAAATGCACATCAGGTTGCCGGTGAGAAATCTGTGGTTGGGGGCAGCATTATGAGGTACGTTGCTCTCTTCCTTATGTGCCCTCTTCATTGCTTCTTACCGTGAGGAAGTGAGTTCTGTCTTGAGAGTCCTCTCAATTTGAGGTGTCACGAGCGCTCAACCTTGAGAGTCAACATTCTTCCTGGGGAGGAAGCTGGTGGGAGACGAGCGAAGCCTCTGAAGGGCCCTAAACGAAGCACTCGGGTCACAATCACCATGCCAACCCGTTGGGACTAGTACACATGCTTTGCCGCAAGTCCTTGGTTCTGCTGCTGCGCAATAGAGGTCATGCAGGGCATGCCAGCCCTTTGAACAGACGCTTACCAGACCATCTTTGACTCTGGCTGTGATCGTCATCTTGTCTGCGACGTTAAATAATTCCTGAGGACCTTGGGGGCTGTCCTTGAACTGCCTCTTGATCAGCCAGATCAAACCGGGTGTAAGGCTCGTTGCATGCGAGGGTAAATAAAGTGGAGGGGCTGGCAGGTTCGGCATAGACTTGGGGCACAGGGGTGGGCCGGATTACACACCTTCAGACACGCTGCTCAAGCAGAACTCAAGAAGGATACAAGGAGAAGGGGGATTTCGGTAACTGTTCGCTGTGGCACTAATTAGACAAACTGCCATCCAGCATGCATCTCAACAGGTAGATTGTTTTTATTTTGGATTATTTAGTTGTTACGGACTTGACTGACAACTAACAGACAACTGCAGATAGTCTAGTTTATCCTATGCTGCATGCAAACTGTTTTAGAATAATCTAAAAATAGAAATAGTGTTGCTTGTACGATCTGACACTAGTTATTGGTTACCGCTCGACTATTTTCTCCAGGCTGACCAAGATTCATTGATTATTCTTAGTCAGTTGGGTGTCAGGCTAAGGTAGGGTTCAATGTGGATTCTAGTTCAGATCACACTCCACTGTAGCTCATGAGTGAAGTTGTAGTAGCGAGGAGGAGCTAGTGGAACTTAGGGTTAGTCGCAGAACTGCTCTCAGTCGGCCTTTGACCTTCCTAGAGATAGGTCCTCAATGAGGAGGACAAGGGACGCCGAGGCCAGCGCCAGGGCTAGGAGCATAGCTAGCACAGGTGTGACCATGGCCACCTCCTCAACCATGTCACAAGCCTCTTCACAGGCCTCTTCGTCAGGAATCAGTCAGAGTAGTCAAGGCTCCATAAGTCATACTGTTGGCGTGCAAGTCAGCCAGCAGCCCCCGCTCCATAAGTCAAGCGGAAGCTCTTCATGATGAGTTGCAGCGGCAACTGAGAGAAATAGAAGGGAGAAGAGAAAGGGCTAGATTGAGAAGAGTCAGATTAGGCACTAGGTTGCAGGAGCTAAGAAGATCAAAAGAACTAGATGATGCTACGTTAAATCCTGTTGATTGGTCGCTGCGCAACTGGCTACTCTGTGTGGCAGAAACGCAGGTAGTTCAGTAGGACTTGTTGGCTGAACTAGTGGCAGGCCATAAACGAATTATGGTTGCACTTCAAGGGCCTCGACCAGTCACGAGGCAGGCCCAGTTCTCTGTGGTTCCCCCTTCGGTTGCAGGTCCTTCAGTGACGCCGTCGCCGATAGGGCAAACCTTCTTGCTTATGTATAGCATGCCTCTCTCAGGCGGACAACCAGTAGTTAGTGATCCGGTCCGTAGAGCTTCTTCTGTATCTTCCACGACGGTGGTAACTACAGTCCCATCGTCAGGACAGGCCTAAGTAAGCATGCAGCAACCTGTCCCAGTGGCTATGCAGCCACTGCAACAATCACCTGGGCAAATCCAGCCTATGTAGTGGATGCCCAAGATACCCTTGATGAGTCCTAAGCCCTTCTCTGGCAACAGGAAGAAGGATGAGGACTTGGATACCTGGGTGAGAATTGTGCCTACCTATGTGACGCACAAGCTCACCAGGCCAGAGCAGGAAGTCATAGTTGTTGTTTCCTTTTTAGAGGGATCAGGAACTCGTTGGTAGAATGGGTTAGTACATTAACAGGGCTACGACCAAAATTTCGATACCTTGGCCCAGGCCCAGACATTGGAAGACTTCGTAACGGGTGTGTATAATAGGTGGCATGACCATGAAGGCCACCGACGCGATCAACAAACTTTGTGCCAAAAGGTACAAGAATGTCTGCGAGCTCACAGACACCGTAGAACGTTTGCTCGTGATACCTGGTGTGTGCTACGGCCAACAGGTACTCCTCACGGATTACTTGAGATGTCTGCCTGTAGAGGTTAAGACTAAGCTGGTGGATGAGGCCTACGTCGACCAACATAACTTGGCCTCTTTCAGCAAGAAAGCCTTAGATATAGAGGCAAGGCTTGGGTCCGCGCATCAGAGTCAGGGTGATGGTAGGAAGAAGAGACTTCCCCAGGACTTGAAGAAGAAAGGTAAACTAATATTCGTCGACCATGATGGCAAGACGACTAAAATTGAAGACTTCTTAGACCTTGGGGAAGAGACAAAGCATGATGGGGCTAATGAGATTTCGGATGGGGGAGCCATGGCGACTATCAAAGAAAGGGCTAGGGGGACCGGGAAGAAGAAGGTAGTTCGGTCTACGGGTCAGGGTGACCAGGGAACACCCGCATGGGTAAAACTTGGTTTAGATTACGAGGTATGGAGGGACCAAGTTGCTAGGGGCACATGCATGAACTGTAGCAATTCTGGCCGCACCTCAAGAACTTGCCGAGGCAAGAAGGTCAAGACGACGGCAACCGCTGCAATGGTAGTGGGCTTATCCTTGAACCGTGGCAGTGCTTCTGCGAGCACTTCGCAGGGAAACTCCTCGGGCCAGTAGGAGTGTTAGCCGCTCTTACTCGCGTTGAAGTGGTAACGTTGCCTTCCCCACTTCAGGTGTTGGCCAAGGCTAGTGACCCATACATCGCCCCACAGACACATTCAAACCCACCGGCGCTCTGTTCAAGAGATGTGTCTGAGTCCCTAGAAGAGTTGCAGACTGAGTGGTCAGGGAAGGACCCCAGAGACTCTTGGGCGATGATAAGTAGAGGTTCTAATGGTGAACATTTCGTGGTAGACGTCAATGTAGTTGGCTGCAAAGTGGGTGTTTTCACAGACATAGGCTGTACACGGAATTTCATCACTCGTGCTTGTGTGGACAAACTGCGCTTAGGGGACCAAGTGCAACGGCTTAGCAGAACTGTAGCTTCTAAACTAGCCAACAAGCACCAAAATAGTAGTTAAAAACTATGTCAAGGACGTAGTATGGTAGTTAAAAACTATGTCAAGGACGTAGTCTGTTCCTTCTCTTATGGAGGAGGGGAAGTGAGACAAAATCTCATTCCTCGTCAGCGACGAACTGCCCTTCGATATGTTACTAGGCATGTACTACCTCGAGGTTGCTCGAGGTTGCTCAACCTCAGTTCCACCGAATGGGAAATTGTTGATATACAAGCTGCCAAACGGTAGAACCGTTAGACTGCAAAAGTTCAAAGCAAGCAGTCGAGTGGAAAACTATGGCGGCATGTGTGCCTCCTCTTTCTATAACTACTATAAGCAGAATCACGAGGAGGGCATGTATCTAGTCTTTGTCTCTTAGAAAGGGGAGGCCATAAAAACACCCGTAGAGATAGAATCAATCGTCGCTCAGTATCTTGACCTTTTTTAGGAGCCCATAGGAGTGGTCGAAACGGAGGTGGTCCATGCGATAAAAGTCATCCCGGGCAGCAAGGTACCTAGAGGACGCATCTATAGGATGTCTCCCGCAGAGTTGGATGCGTTCCGCCGCCAGCTCAAAGAGCTCACAGAGAAAGGATGGATTCGGCCTAGTACCTCCTCTTACGGCGCGCCAGTCTTATTTGTTCCTAAGAAGGGAGGGATATTGAGGATGTGTATTGACTATAGGGGCCTCAATGCCATCACCGTAAATAACGCAAAGCCCCTACCCCACATCGACGACCTATTGGATAGAGTGTAGGGATGTCGGTACTTTACTAAGATCTAAAGTCCAGATACCATCAAATTGCCATTAGATATGAGGACCAGCACAAAACTGCCTTGCAGACCAGGTACGGTCTGTACGAGTTTGTGGTGATGCCCTTTGGCCTATGCAATGCCCCTGGGACATTCTAGCACGCCATGAATAGGATATTTCATGAATACTTGGACAAGTTTATCGTCGTGTACCTCGACGATATCCTTGTCTTTAGTAAGATTGTAGAGGAGCACTCTGAGCACTTGAAAATAGTGATAGGACTCCTAAGACAGCACCAGTACGAGGTAAACTTGGAGAAATGCGAGTTTGGTCGCACCAAGATCTTGTACTTGGGTCATGAAATCTCTGCGGATGGGTTGAGGTCGAACGATGCCAAAGTGGCCAGCATATGAGACTGGCCCAGACCTCAGATTGTTACTGAGGTCCGATCGTTTTTGGGGATGATGGGCTATTATCGTCCGTTTGTTAAGAACTATAGTACTATAGCTTCCCCATTAACAGATCTAACTCGACTCGACACCCCTTGGGAGTGGATTGAAGAGTGTGAGGCAAGCTTCAAGAAATTGAAGTATGCTCTGACACAGTACGAGGTCCTCAAACTTCCGGATCCTGATAAGGCATTTGTTGTGACCACAAACGCCAGCCAATATGGCACAGGCGCGGTCCTTGCACAAAAGGAGGGGCCAAAGTTGAGACCGATCGAGTATATGAGTAAGTAGATGTCGTCTCAAAAAGTTGTGAAGTCCGCGTATGAGCGTGAGCTCTATGCCCTATGTAGAGCACTGGTCCACTAGAGACATTATCTCCTAGGCAAGTTCTTCTATGTGAGATCGGACCATAAGACCTTGCGCTGGATCAAGACACAGCCTGTGCTCTCTGACGCACTCAAGCGGTGGATTTAAGTGATAGACATGTATGACTATCAACTTGATGCAATCAAGGGAGAGAACAACAAAGTGGCTGATGCACTATCTCGTCGGGCAGATCTGGGCGCGCTAGTCACTTAGTTTGGCATATTTAATGATCTAACTCGATCATTGGTGGAAGCCTATCAGCAAGATCCAGTTATGTCTGAGATCATCCGTAAATTCCAAGCGAAGGACAAAGTGACTTCAGATGAATTTACGATGGTAGACGGCTTGCTGTTTCTTGAGAAGGCAGGGAATAAAAGACTATGTGTTCCTAATAGAGAGTCTTTGCTTAGTTTATTTTTAGGTGAGTGTAATGATGCAACTGGCCATTTCAGCTATAGGAAAACGTCAGCTAACTTGGTACAGAAATTCTGGTGGCCTTCTGTGATGGAATATGCCAAGAAGTATGTCGAAACCTGCCAGGTTTGTCAATGGGACAAACCCAGGACTCAGGCTCCGCTTGGGCTCATCAAGCCCTTGCCGATTCCTGAAGGTCCTGGTCAGAGTGTGTCCATGGACTTCATGGATACTCGTGTGACCAGCAGGTCTGGGAAAAGACACATCTTTGTTATAGTAGACCGCTTTTCTAAGTATGCAAGACTAGTCGCTATGCCTGAAACTGCCAAGACTGATTACGTCATCAGACTGTTTATGGATAACTGGGTACGGGATTTTGGTCTACATAAGTCCATAGTCAGTGATAGGGATGCTCGCTTTACTAGCGAACTGTGGCAGAACACTGCCCAACAGATGGGAACCAGACTGCAAATGACATCAGGGAATCACACTGAGTCAAATGGACAGGCGGAACGGATGAACAGAAGTGCAGCATATGCTAAGGCACTGCATCAAGCCAAGCCAGGATGACTGGGACGAGAAACTGCCTCTCGTTGCCAGCCTGTATTACAACGCTGTACATAGCGCTACTGGCATGACTCCCAAC